AACGTCAGCCTCTCTGCTCCTGTGATGCTGCTTGGCCTGCCGTGTTCGTCCAGCCCTGCACCTTGTTGTCTCCCATTAACAACTGTTCACCCTTCCAGCCAGATTGTTATCAACTGCTTTGTCTATCCAACTGCTCTTCCCTCTCTTCAGGCTCTGTCCTATCGTTTACTCCCTACCCCATCCACCTCCCTATTTTCTGCATTTAAACTGACATTTTCCCAGCTACCATCAGTTCTGAGGAAGGGTCACGGGATCTGAAACACTAACTCTGATTTTTTTTTCTTCACAGATGCTGTCAGGCCTCTTGAGCTTTTCCAGCAACTTCTGTTTTTGTTCCTGATTTACAGCATCCGCAGTTCTTTTGGTTTTTATATAGTATGCATATCCACTGTTTGAATACAATACTTAGTTAGTTTCAGGTAACTTGCTTTTAAAAAGTGTAGTAATCATTTGCACAATTAATGGTTTTTAAAACAGTCCTTTTCCCATTTCAATCAAACGGTATATATAAATTGAGATCCAGCCAACAATAATTAGCTGATTGTAATAAAAAAACTGATCACCATTCCACACACCAGAGGCCTTCTGCTTACTGTCAACTATGTGATTGGTTTCCAGGTGGCAGAACAGCTTGTGGGTGTGAATGTTTGGGAGAAAAGCTATTGGACTTCTGAAAAAGGAGCAGTCCTTTCTCTGCAGAAAACACCTCAACCCTTATATTGGTATTATCGCTGGACTGCTAATCCAGAACTCCAGGTAATGTTCTAGGGACCCAAGTTCAAATCCTGCCCGGCGGATGGTGGAATTTGAATTCGATTAAAAATCTGGAATTGACAGTCTAATGATGATCACAAATCCATTGTTGATTCTCGGAAAAACCTATCTGGTTCACTAATGTCCTTTAGGGAAGGAAACTGTCATTCTCACCTGGTCTGGCCTACACGTGACTCCAGACCCACAGCAATATGGTTGACAATTAGGAATGGGCAATAAATGCTGGCCTAGTAAGTGACACTCCCAATCTGTGAATAAATTTAAAAAAAAACATTATAAGTATGGACCAGTTGTGTTGTGCTTCCTACAGCAAGTGATAGTACATGGAGACGCAAGATGAAAGAGCAGCAGATTCTGACAAAATGAAAGGATTATCTCATCTATAGACAGGGACCATTGAACTACCTTACCAGTCTTTTCCTCTGCTTGTGGCATCCTCTTTGTGTGTCTGTTTGTGGGTGGAGTTTTATGTGGTATTTATATGTCAATCGTTAATAATCGTTTACCTGTAACTAGAATTTATTTATTTGCAATAAATAGTTACCATGTTTAAGTGCAGTAACCTGGTCTGTGCTTTCTGTCAACCTGGATCTAAAATAGAGATAAATTGAGAAAATTTGCAAACTTTATATAAAATATTTAATTTTTATGATGATTCTAGGAATAGCAGGACTTGATTTTCAGTATGCTAGCCCAGTGAAGCATAACAAATATCAGAAATGAGAAGCATGCTTTGTATTTGAGAAGTTGACTTAGTCAATGTAACCTTTACACCCTTATCAAGCTCCACATGCTCCTCCACACCTTCAGCACTGCTGGAGATTATTCTACCCTCCCCCTTTAGAATACACTTTACCCCCAGAACTATTGATGGTCTTTTTTCCTCTGACACCCAACCATAACCATTTTCTTTTGTGTTAAGTATGGCTTACTAGAAACATAATAGAAAAGAGCATGAGTAGGCCATTCAACACCCCGAGCATGCTATGTATTCAATATGATGATAGCTGATCAGCGAGCTCAGGATCCTAATCCCACCCTCCTCCTGTATCCCTTGATTCCTTTAGCCACAAGAGCTTGAACATGTATAATGCTTTAGCCTCAACCCCTTTTTGTGGTACTGAATTCCACAGGCTCTTTGGGTGAACAACTTTCCCCTCATTGCAGTCGTAAAAAGTTTACCCCTTATCCTTAAACTATGACCCCTGGTTCTGGACTTCCCCACCATCGGGTACATCCTTGCTGAATCTAACCTGTCTAGACCTGTTCAAATTATATAGGTTTCTATGAGATCCCCTCCTCATTCTTCTAAACTCCAGTGAATACGATCCTAATCGACTCAATCTCTCCTCGTCTGTCAGTCCTGCCAGGCTAGGATTCAATTTGGTAAACCTTTGTTGTATTCCCTGCATGGCAAGAATACCCTTCCTCAGGTAAGAAGACCAAAACTGCTCTCAATATTCCAGGAGCAGCGTCATCAATGCCCTGTATAATTGCAGCGAGATATCCTGCTCTGGTACTCAAATCCTATTGCTATAAAGGCTGACAGTTTGACTTTTTTACTAAAGTAAAAAAGAACTGCGGATGCTGGAGATGTGAAACAAAAACACTGCATTTGAGACATTAACTCTGCTTTCTCTCCACAGATGTTGCCAGGCCTGCTGAGTTTCACCCAGCAGTTTCTGTTTTTTTGCCTTCTTCACTGCCCTCTGCACCTGCACACTTACTTTCAGCAACTGATGCATGAGGTCACCCAGGTCTCATTGAACATTCCCTCTCTCAATTTACAGCCATTTAAAAATAATCTGTCTTCCTATTTTTGCTACCAAAGTGCACAGCCTCACATTTATCCATTTATACTGCATCTACCATGCATTTGCCCATTCACTTAGCCTGTCCAAATCAGACTGCAACATCTCTGCATTTTCCTCCCAACTTTGTATCATCTGCACATTTTGAGATACTACATTTAGTTCCCTCATCTAAATAATTAACACTGATTATGAATAGCTGGGGTTCTGGTACTGATTCTTGCAGCACTCTATTCACTACCTGCTGTTCAGAAAATAACCAATTTTATTCCCACTATTTGTTTCTTGTCTGCTAACCAATTTTCTATCCATCCCAATACACTACTTCCCCATCATGTGCTTTAATTTTACACATTAACCTCTTATGTGGGACTTTGTCAAAAGCCTTCTGAACGTCCAAATAAACTGCATCCACTGGCTTGCTCTGATCAGCTCTAGTTACATTTGCGAAGAATTCCAGTAGATTTGTTAAGCATGGTTTTATTAAATCCATGCTGTGTCTGATTCTACTACGTTTTCTATATGCTCTGCTAGAAAATCTTTGATAATGGACTCTAGTATCTCTCCCACTACCAGTGTCAGATTCACTCATCTGTAGAGTCATAGAGTTGTACAGTACGGCAACAAGACCCTTCAGTCCATCTTGTCCATGCTGACCAGATATCCTAAATTAATCTAGTCCCATTTGCCAACGTTTAGCCCATATACCTATTCCACATCCTTTGGCGCATATAATTCCCTGTTTTCTCTCTACCTCCCTTTTTAAATAGCGGGGTTACATTAGTTACTCTCCAATATGCAGAAACCAGTGGAAAGCTATCCCCATTGAATTTCAAAAATGAGTGTGCCAAAAAAAACCTCCTAGTCAGAGACAAATGGTTTAGACTGGTTAGAAGTGCTTGCTGAGGGCATTCATTAGATGCCAGCTGGAATCTTCCAGGTAGTGTATGGGCCACACACCTAGGCTGATTGTAACTGCAAGAGGAAATGGACACCCAGCAAGAGACTGGAAGCCAGTGATATTTCTTTTCATTTTCTTCCTTGACCCCAGCAGCTGTGATTGCCAGAAGGCAAAATTTGGCCAATATTTCATTCCTACTATGGGATTCAGAAGTGGGAGCTAAAATTAAACATCATTTCTTACAGGCATCAGTTATTTTATAAAACATCAATCAAGTGACCAGTTTTTAAAAAATTTGACCATTGACAATAAATGTAAGCAGACCTTGGGTAAAGGGCATCATGACTAAATCATATTTCCTCCACATGCATGCACTTTGTAACAGGAGACACTGGACAGCACTAAGGAAATGAAATCATAGTTGATAACTTGCAGCCTACCTAATGCAACAACACTGAAGTTTGTGCTTGTCTTGCTGTTCTGCCTTTTATTTTGTTACACAAACCACAAACAAAACCCAAACAAGACCAGAAAATATCCTAGTTTGGGAGACGCCATTACTGCCTACATTGTAAGAACCTTCTGCATTGCTGATTCCTGAGTTTTGGTCTAGTTTGTTTGCTTCTTATTCTTTTATTTTTCCATTGAATGTCAAGTCCATTGCAATTTGGAAGCTCAATTCCCTATTAAAATATAAATTTAAGGAACTGACTTCCTCAACTATTTATCCTTAGGCAGTCCCAAAGTTTTGAGGATGACTTGCTTTCACTCAATTCAATGGGTTCTGAAGTGGCTGATAAATCCAAAGTGCAGCCTGCAGATTCTGCCACATGTAAATGAATTGTTTGGATTTTTATGTGTTCTCCAAGATGCCTCAACAAAGTCCCTTGGTCCCTGTTGAATTAACTTTCTCCATTTTAGTTTGTCACAAGTCAGGGACTCCTATGAGTCAACAGGGATGTTTGACTTCTATAGCAATTCTTTGAGGCAATCCCTAAAGCAATTCCACCAATCTGGAATGGTGGAATCCCTTGTGTGACTAAATTACAAGTAAATTAGTTGCTTTAGAAGTCTAATATCTGGCCTAAGGAGTGAATTGTCCTGCCCATATTTAAGTGATTAACATCTTGATGATGGGCATGTTGATTTGACAAGGATACTGTTTTTGTATGGTCTTTCTTGCCATTGAGTTTGGAAGTTCTTCACAAAGCATCACAAATAGCACCAGTGCTATTCTCCCGTCCTTTAAGGTGGCTGTAATAAGTAGTGCATGTCTCAGAAGCATGCCAGTGAACAGGGATCATTGCTGCCCCTGACCGTAGCCTTGGGTTTGAGATTATAGTCCCCAAATACTCTTTTCCTCAGTCAGCCAAAGGCTGTGCTAGCTCATTAAATCTGATGATAAATTCAATTGTCTGTGTATGAATTCACTGACAGAAGGAGGCTCCAAAATCTGGAAAATAGTCCACATAATTGATCTTTATTGATGGAGAGATTTTTTGTAACTGTTTGGGAGAGAATCAGTTTTCTGGGTGTTTGTTGATAGTCCTGTTTTAAAATCTTCGGAAAAGGAGTCAAGAATAACTGGAGCTTCGTTTCTCAGTGGGTACACACAAGCTCAAAGACTGAGGTTGGAGCAACTTTGGTTTTGGATTGATGGTGGTTTAGATTGAACTGTCTCCTGTCCTGTAAATTATCTAAACAACTACTAATAGTTTGCTAGAGGTGGGCGTGGTGATGCATAGAGGAAGACAGAGAAGAAGGTTTGTGTGATTATACAACCCTGTTTGATACCAGTTTTCCCTGGGATAAGGACTAGCGTGGCTGTAGGTAAGGATCATAGCTTGTATGGCATTGTGGAGTAGACTGTGGGCAGTCAAATTTGAGGAGGATAATCCATGAAAGTGCCAAAGGTGAGATTTAAAAAAAAGCCATGCACAGTGGTTAGTGTTGCATCTTTCTTGGATTTGCTGTGCACTGTAGATCATGTCTGTGCTGCCTATAGTTGGGCACAAAACTGCACTAGGACTTAACCAGACAGAACATTCACAAGTTCACATTTGAAGACCTGGAGTCCTCAGTGTTGCCTTTTTGCAGATAAATCACTTATTTTAATTGAAATGCTGTAATTTTCTTTGTTGTGGTGTCCATTCTTCCAACAATACATTCATTTTAATAGAGTATACCATTATACGCTTAAAACGTAATCCGGAAAAAAGACCTACATTTTGGAAATTAAAGAGTCAATGTAAAATAACTAAGTGCAGATGTGAGAACTGGTGGACATTTCTTAACTGCCGACGTGGCAATTCCAGACGTGAAGCTTGGGGGAGGTGTATCTATGCCTCCCTGCTTATAGTGGAAAACCCTGATGTGGTGCTCTACACCTAAGTACAAAAACATTATTACTTAATTTTTTCCCCTCAAATCACTTACCAAAACAGAAGTATGATCAAACTGTCATCACAATTAAAATTCCTGCGCCATATTTGCTTCTCTTATGATCTGACAATGGTTTTCTTTTGAAATATTGTTACAAATGTTTGTTTTAATTTCTCAGTATGATGTCATGAGTAAAACGTTAAAAGCGTGATAAAAGCACAAAATATTGGTAACCTTGATTTAAAACACCCCATTCGACCAGTTTAATAAATTCTTCCAGAGGATGTGGCATAAATCTCAACCTTGAAAAGTAAAAACTTGCATTTCAAGTGGTAAATAGCCAGAACAGGAAATGTAAGGTTGGCAACATCATCTTGACCATCTTATGTACCGGCCCCACTTCATTACTTGTTCAGTGATCTGTCCCTCTGCACTTCTACGTTTTTCAGTACTGGAATAAAGCGAAAACAACAGAAATGACATTTCTTTTTATTGCATTGATTTTGCCCCTTTCCCGTTATCGTATTAGATTTTTCCCCCAAATCTTTCAATTTTATTTACATCAGCTGCACAAAATAGGAAATTAAAAAAACTGATCCCTCAATAAATGTTAAATCTATTTTGTTTATTTCCCCAACTAACTTGACCTCTTTCAAACTGGATCATGAGGATATCTACTGTACTTTTTTTCAATGTAGGCGGTTCTGCGGGCTCGGGTTTCACATACGTTACAGCGAATTCCTTCTGGAACTTTCCTGTGGTTATAAAATGGGAGAGTGGTCTTTTGTCTGTTTGCACTGATTGCGAGCAGACGGGTAGAAGTGTTGTGCAGCCCTGTGGAGTGGTGCCGGGTTAGTCCCTGATCCGCTGTCTGACCTAAGCAAGCCGGAGAGTAAAGGTAAGAATTCCTCAGTCGCTGTGGCACAGCTGCCTAGCCTCATCTTTTAGAAAAACCTTACTTATCACAACAGTAAAGTGGAGGGGCGTACTATGGATGTGGCTGCACATTATACTTCATATCAGATGGGAGAGAAATTTTCCAAAAGCAACTGGGTAATTGTACCTCTTATAGGACACCAATATATTCGATTTAGTACTATAAATGTGGCAACATCTCAAATATTGCCTAATACATGGCACGAACCGCTAAGGAGAGCAGTAAAATAGTCATGTACCAACTTGGTACAATCTCTGAAAAGTGCAGGCATTCATTCGAAAAACAAGTGGAGAAACTGCCACGCATGCAGTTTATCTGTGGGAAGAGAAGAATGTTTCACGTAATAAGATTAGATAGTGTACTTCAATCCTGCGGGAGGTGCTCCTACTGCCACCGTAGACAGATTGCGTGAATTACAAGGGTGAAGCGTAGGGAAAGTAGAAATGAAGATATCCTTTGTTTGTTATTTGTATTGACATCCCAAGCGGTTTATAAACAAATACATATAAAATGCGGTCCGTGTGTTGAAAACTTACAAAATATTCGTTTTCTGCAGCCACTTTATTTAGATGATTAATTAGGTAATTCTTGAAAAAACTGAAAATATACAATGAACCCTTGATAAATCAGATTGATTTTTCAGAGATTTCCCCGGCTGGGGTTTACATTCAGCGCCTGTAATTTGAAGGGTCTCATTTAAGTTATTTCTGAAGGGAATTTCGCTGTTCTTGTAAAAAAATTTACGGTGACGGTCATTTGGTCTATCGTATCTTTGTAAGCTAAAATAAGCTATCCAGCCAAATCTTATTTTACAGCTTGTCACCCACTTGTTGGTTACAGCACTTTAAGTGCATATCCACGAACTTTCTAAATGAAGTGACCGTTTCAGACTTCAGTATTTCAGCAGTGAGTTCCAGACCTTTCCCAGCCTTTGGATTTGAAAAAAAAATCCCCATCATTTACCTAATCCTGTTATCAATTACTTTAAATCCACTAGCCCTGGTCTTGACCTCTGAGTGAAGAGAAATAAATTGTTAGTACCGACCTCACGAGAGCCCTTCTGAGCACCTCAATTAAATAATCTCTCAGCTTCCTTAAGTTCAAATAAAAATATGCATTAGCAGGCTCAAATGGCTAAATGGCCTCCTCCTGCTCCTATCTTGTAAATTTCTCATGGCAAAGGTTTTTGAGTTATAGCAACATCTTTGTAATTTTCCTTTATAAGCTCTCCAGTACAATCACATCTTTCAGTAAAGTGGTGACCAGAATATTATGCACTACTGTAGCTGTGACCTAACTGGCGTTTCATTAAATTCTAGCATCTATGCCTCAGCTAATAAAACTATTCTCTATACGGTATTATCTTGACCAGCTTATAAATTTGTCCCATCATTTTCAGTAATCTATGGACATGCACTCCCAAGTCCCTCTGTACCTCTACATTTTTCAGTATTCTATCATTTATTGTGTCTTTTTTTGCCTTCTCCAAAGCCATTATCTCATGTTTCTCTGAACCAAATTCTATTTGCCATTTTCCTCCCTGATAGGTTAATTGATATCTTCTCATAGCCTGCTGCTTTATTCCTTACTATTAACCATGGAACCTTTTCCTTATTTCATCCAGAAACATCCTAATCATATGTCCTACATGTAAATTTAAATCATTAAGATACATTACAAAAGTCAAGGAACCTAGTCCTGAATGATGCAGAAGCCCACTGGAAATGGTCCTGGAATCACAAGAATACCTTTCCCACATTTGTTCTTTGCTTCTTGCTAACTGTAGATTCAACTTGACACATTTCCATGGAATTTTACTTTTCTGACTATTGTGCCATGTTGTGACCTTTTAAAAGCCTTGCTAAAGTCTACGTTGCCCATATAAGATATGGTGTCCTCATTGATGCTCCTTATTAGCTTCTCAAAAAATGCTTTCAATTATTCAGAAAACCTGCCTTTTCTAAGCCCATGCTGACTCTCCTGGAGTGATCCGTGGCTTTCTAAATGCTGATCAATATTATCCCTAATTTTCTTTTTTCCAGTAATTAGCCCACCACTGAGGTTAGGTTTATTCAGTCTATCCTTATTCCCACTATAAGCAAGGCTGTGTTTTTTTAAAATTAAAAAATCTTTCATGTAACTTTGGTGCTGCGGGCTAGGCCAGCATTTATTGCCCATCCCTAATTGCCCTTGAGACGAGGTAATGGTGATGAGCAGGTTTCTTGATTTGCTGTAGTTCGTATTTCTGCTGAAACAGTAGTGGGTGCACTTATTGTGCATGCACTGATGCACTACCAGTGTCAGTAGTTTTTTACATTTATATCTGTTTTTTGTTGCTGAATTAGGTGTTTGTTTTTGCAAGATGGTGTTTTACAATTGTAACGTTTAGAAGAAAATCAGTTAACAGAAAAATAAACTACCCGGAAAGCAACTGTTTCAACAGTCAGGTTCTTGAAATCCAAAACTAAATATTTTTTTCATTAGTATGGGTGAAATCAGTCTTGGAAATCCCAGGTCTATATAGTAATTCACCGCTGATAAAAATCATCACCTTTAATGGGTCTGAAAACAATGGACTTGGGAATAAGTGTCCAATTTTCAACGACTGAGATGGTTCTGTTGTAACTTGTTGCACAAATCTTTCCAACTTGTTCAACTTGTTTAACCAGTGTGCATGTGCATTTATTCATGATGCCTCTCCAGTCAGCAGTTGGAGTTAAGATTTATAGAATAGTATAATATTAACAATTCTCCACTATTCTAGAAATACCTGTAAGTAGAAATGATTGGAAAATATTGTCAAGGGCCTCTGCTATTTCCTTGCTTGCTTTCTGAAGCAGCCTGGAACATATTTGACCTGGGCTGAGCAACTTGTCCACAACTGAAGATGCTAACCCCTAAATATTTTCTATTTATTCTCAATATTTCATATTCCTCCTCTTTAAATACAATGCTTGTACAAGTTGTTTCGATTTTGGACTCTCATTCTACTTCAGTCACTTTTAAGCAGTCTTTTTATCTTTTTGCTGTTTATCAGGATAATACTTACTAATTGTTAATGCCCCATAATCCCCATGCATCACATGACATGATCAGTGTAATGCAACTTCCATGTTCGCTTTTCTAAAGAACTTCCTTGTAAGCGACCTTGCCTTGCCATCTTATCTTTGTCACTCAACACAACTTGAGGAAATTGATCCACTTTCTACAGATGGCATAAATATGTTGTTCTTGTTCTGCAAGTATGGTGCCCGATTGTCAGAGTACTGACCTCTGTATATTTTGAGCTTGCTTAACAGACTCATGGTGCTCTTGTACCAGAGGCATAAATGGAAGTTGCCAAAATCAAGCTGTGTTTGGTAATTCTGCAAGCTGCTTGATGTATGTTGTTCGATACATTGCCATAGGTCACATATGAATAACTCAGGAATCCCAGTGTGTTCCTGATTAGTGCATTGTCACTGATTTTTGGGGGGTGTGATCTCTTGGTATATGTATGTGCACTTTGTTCCTGCAATTGTACAATGAAAAACTAAGTGCTTTTACAGTTGTTGTGCACTTTAATTCCTTGGCACCAGTATCAAGGAAAATATTCATTAAAAAAATCTACATATGTGGAGTACAATTACCTGTATTGTAGATGTGTGCAAGGTGCTTTTACAAAAATGATGCATATGGCTAAGGTAGTTTGTAATTTTTGTTGGACAGCCCTAAAGTAGAACTATTTAGTTAAGGCTTAATATTTTATTTAAAAAGTTTGAATTGTTTGAATCTTGGTAGATCTTGGTAGATCTTGAAATGAATAAGGCATGTGCATAATTTGATTGTGTATTATCAATGTAATTAGTTTCTCATAATTTAGTCTGACAAATGTTTTGATTAGATGTGTTAAAAGTGAATACATTCTGCAGAACATCAGACAGTTGTGTGATGACTGAGATCTAATTTAATCTGGAATCCTGTTTGCGTAAAATACATATGCAGAGAATGGAGGTTTTTTTTGGTCCGTGCTTTTCCACTTCCATGCAGTGTAATGCATTGCTATGACAGACAATAACTGAATGAACTGTGTAGCCTTCATTTTTATCTGTTATATCTTTCAGAATGAACTTGGCAAAGATGCACATCCCTTTGAAAAGATTTCAAGTCTGCAAACTTTCGATTACCCTGTGTACGGGTTTGATTGTTAACGTTTTAAGCAGTGTCAGTGACATAAATGTTAACCGTCCGTTTTTTTTAACTTAATGGTGATATAATCCATGTCTTACTTTACTAATCTTACAAGAAAAGGCAAAGTTTTCATTGGACTGGAGCTTGTCACTTTTGGCCAGGTGGATCCACTGTAAGCAGGAACATCAGAGGTAGTTAGTCCCAGTCCAACATACTTTATTTTCTCCCATTACTTAATGAACATGAACTGGAAACATAATTTTTTTTGTGCCAAATGTGATTCAGGAGTAGCACTCTCTGTGTCACGAGACTGTGGTTTCAAGTTGCATTGAGCAAAAGTCTAGACAGATACCATAGCGCAATTCTGCAGAATGCTATGTTTCAGGTACACATTTAACTAAGGTCTCACTTTATTCCTTCTTTGATGCTTTAGGTTTTATAATACTGTTTTGAAATCAAACCTCGAAATAGATGATCTAGTCATTCTCCCATTGTTGTTTGTAGGATCTTGATGTGTGCAATTCTTACATTGCAATTACAATTTAAAAGTACTTAATTAATGGTAAAATACTTTGAGACATCCTGAGGTTGGGAAGGATACTGTATACAAGAAAAATTTTTCTCCCTTTTCAGAAGAGCTTTATGAAAGTTATGGTTAAGATTGTAGTTTGTTTTGTCTTATATAGAGGCCTGTTTCTTCAAGATTAATAAAAGAAGAATTTTTGAGATTATACAGACATATTCAGCCTTGAGAACATTTTTTGAAAAATTCTGTCATTTCAGAAATTTTAAAGTTTGAATACATGAATTTTACTTAATTTTCAAAATTTTATGTTAAAGTTCCCATACTTTGCATTTTATTACAATTTACTGTTGTTATTTTCATTTCCATGTTTTTTGAGGATGTACTTTTTAAAGTTATTTTTAACTGCAAAAGGTTTTTTCAATTTATTTCATCTTGTCAATTGTGTGGAAATCAGGGAAAGAATTTGCACTGCTATTATTTGCATTATCAACATCCTCATAAATGCAGGACTAAATGGTAATGATCAGTAATTATAGAATGGTTTACAAACATTAAAACGAAGGGAGACAGTCAGCCAGATCCACATGAGAATACAAAATTCAAGAGACTGCTTGATGCTATAACTATATTTTTCTGCACTTTATGTTTTTTATTGCTAATGTAATAACCATAAAAATATAGAGCAGAATTGGACTATTCGGCCCATCGAGTCTGCTGCACCATTTGATCATGGCTGATATGCTTCTCAACCCCATTCTCCTGCCTTCTCTCTGTAACTCATGATCCCCTTATTAGTCAAGAACCTATCTATCTCTGTCTTAAATACACTCAATTACTTGGCCTCTACAGCCTTCTGCGGCAATGAATTCCATGGATTAACCATGGCTGCAGAAATTTCTCCTCGTCTCAGTTCTAAAGGGTTGTCCCTTCACTCTGAGGCTGTGCTCTCAGGTCCTTCCCATTTCCTTTTTTTCCTATTGTTATGATCTCAGTAGATGTTATTACAGGACATGTCAGATCCTAGGCTGAAACCTCACTTGATAGATCATACTCCTTTGGTGGTTTTAACAAGGTGGCCTTTCATTAAAATACAAACAGGCAATGCTTCAGATTCGGGTTTAACAATGAGAGAAGTTTTTATGCAAAAGAAATGAAAATAAAATGAAATAACACATAACACATGTTTAAAGATTTCCAAACACAGTAAAAATATAATCCCACTAATTCCAATAATATCCAACAATTACATTACTCAAATGCCATAGAGAATGCTCTTCTCTATCCCACATAGACATTCACTTCACTGTTGCTTCATTTCCAGGTCATGAGAATCTGAAAGCCTCTTCCTTGATTTGTCATAAAACTGAGCCTAGAAGTTTTCAGCTTGACATTACCACTCCAAGGTTTTAATCAAACACTCGAATAAAAGCAAAATACATGGATGCTAGAAATCTGAAATAAAAACAGTAGTACTGGAGAAACACAGTAGAACCAGTTCTAAAGAAGTCATATTAGACTTGAAACATTAACTCTGTTTCAGTTTCCACGGTTGCTGCCAGAACTGCCAAGTTTCTCCAAGACTTTCTGTTTTTATTGTAACCAAACATTTCTGCTTTGGAATTTTAAAACTAAACTCCTTACATTAAGGAAACTATTTTTAACAAATCTAAACTATCTTCACCTTTTCTCAGGAGCAACTGCATTACACATCCACCTTCAGCTAAACATCCTGCAGAACTGCCTAAACTGAAACAAAAAACCCCTTATTTTCGAGCAATGAGCGTTTCCCCAAAAATGTCAATTACAGTGTTTACCTTGTTCATTCATAAACTCTCCCAAAACTATCTTTCTCAGACTAGTTTTTAAAGGGCATCACCATGGCTATAGAAATACTTATAATTTAATCATAAACTCCTTCTGACAGAAAAAAGTCTCAAGTCAGGAGTTCAAATTTGAAAATCCAAACTCAAAAATAAACAATATTGAAATATATACAATGCACTAGACATCACACTATACAAAAAGTCTGAGCATTAAAAGAACTATAAAAGCTTAAAGTTATTATAGAAAATAATGCTAAACAAATGCTTGATGAATCCCTTTCCTATTTTAGTTAGGGTATTAACATTCTAACTCTGATTTATGTAATGGTATTGACCATCAAAACAGTTTACCAAATCTTTATTATCTGCGAGGGATAAGGGCACAGATTGCCCTTGGATAATGAAAAACAGGAATACTCCTACAATGTAAATCTCCTATCTAACGTGAAGAACTATGTGATGAGACTCAGTCAGTCAACGGGTTAGAACAAAATGGTCAGGTTTGGGGTAAATATGTAGATTTCTGGATAGCAAATCCACAAACAATGAAGAGTGAGCATAATCATTTGCTGTCTGAATACTCTGCAAAGCCTTTACCAGGGCTGTCAATATCCACACAAAATATGGGGATTACATATTAAAATAGGTGCAATAATATTACAGATCCATGGAAAGCACAAAATTCAAGTGACTTCAGGAATATAAGATTTTGAAACGCACAAATGTGCAATTAAATTCAAAAGTACTGCCCAATTGTGCTTATCCAGATGATATGATGTTGAAAATTCCCCAGACTGAATTGAACTTCCACTCTTATGTTGACCTTATGTCTGACTGTAATAACAATTAAAAGCATTGCACCTTGCTGACTAAGGTGTAACTGGATTTTAATACAGTAAATTCATAAGTACTGCTAAGCCACCTCACTGGTCTCTAAATAGAGTATTTTTATATTGGATGAATGTCAAATTTCTCTTATGAAATAAAAGTGCTGATTTTAAAAAAAAGTTATGATATTTTAGCTTCTATCTTTATTTATTGCTGCTTGTCCCAGTCATTTGTCTTACCATCAGTAAAATTTAAAAATTACAAGTGGTGGGATTCAAGAGTTTTACTTCCTTTTATGTTGATGAGAATTCTTCAAAGTGAGGTTGCTTACGTTGCTTGATGCCTTCTAAGTGGCTAGATGCCTGCAAGCCCATTTGACTTGGCACCACATGTTAGGAAAAAGGAAGTCAACGCTTTATGACTCCCTCAATCTTTGAACAGCTTTCCTTGATGTTATCAGCGAGCCCCACTCATTAAAAAATCCATCTCAATGTCAGAATATTAAGTATATGCTCAGTAAGGTCATTGACAGTAAGGTCTAGCATTTAAAACTTTTTTTTGTGATTTTAAAGACAGAAATCATTTGAAACAGCACCTTGGCTGGTACCTAAAGGCGAATGGGTCAGTTTAATTAGACTAGAGATCAATGCGAATTGATCCTTCATGCCAGCATGAGTGCTAGATCCTCAACTGGAATCACCTGCTGTTGAAAAGCCATTTCTTTGTCTTTTTTCACTTTCCTTATATTTTTTCTTTCGTATATTTGTCTAACTTTTCGATTAGTATCTCGTTGCAACAATCACTAGTGGCCCTTTTGAATCAAGGTCTTATTCAAATTGTCAATGCTCACTTGCTACTGCATTATCTACTCATGAAAATCTCGTTTAATGTTTATCATCTTAAACTCTTCAAAACCAACAGCACCTTCCAAACTCGTGATCTCTACTACTTGGATGGATAAAGGCAGAGGATTATAGGAATATCACCACCTGTAAGATACTATCCAAGCCACAAACCATCCTGACTTGAAACTATATCACTGCTCCTTTCACTTTTTCTATTTGCTTATAGGATATGGGAAATGCTAGCTAGGTCAGCATTTATTGCCGATCCTTAATTCTCTTTAGAAGGTGGTGGTGAGCTGCCTTCTTGAACTGTTGCAGCCCTTGGCAGTGTAGGGAGATCCATATAACGATGTGAGAAAGAGAGCCCCAGGCTTTTGACCTAGCAACAGTGAAGCTGTTGCAAAATAGTTCTAAATCAGGACTCTGTGTGGCTTTGAGGCTAATTTGCAGGTGGTGGTGTTCTCATGCATCTGCTACTTTTGTTATTCTAGGTGGTTGTGGGTTTGGAAGTTGGCTTTGGATGAGCATTGGTGAGTTACTTCAATGCATCTTGAAGCTGGTACTTGCTGCTCCCACTGTGTTGGTGGTGAAGAATGTTGTGGGATCAAATTCTTCCTAACTGCATTATGGATAGACCAAAACTCAAGGACTTTTGTTTATTCATTCATTCATTCATGGGATGGAGGTGTCGCTGACTGGGCCAGCACTTACTTCGCATCCCAATTGCCCTTGAGAACATACGAACAGGAATAACAGTAGGCCAACTTGGCCTTCGAGCTTTCTCTGCCATTCAGTAAGATCATGCTCAACTCTGTATTCCTGCCTATCCTCTGGTAATATTTCATCTTCTTGGTAATCAAGAATATATCTACCTCTGTCCTAAAAATGTTGAAAGGTTCTGCATCCACTTCCTTTTGAGGAAGGGTATTTCAAGGACTCACAGCCCTTTGAGTGGAAAAAACAGTTTCTTCATCTCCGTTTTAAATGAGCATCACCTTATTTTTAAACTATGACCCCTAAGTCTAGATTCTCCCACACAAGGGAATATCCTTTCAACATTCACACCATCAAGTTCTCTCAGGATCTTGAGTTTCAATTAAATGACCTCTGACTCTTCTAAACTCCAGACGATTCAGGCCTCGCTCTTCTAGTCTTTTCTTATAATACAAACCACTCATTCCAGGTATTAGTTCATTAAACCTTCTCTGGACTGCTTCCAATACATTAACATACTTATGGTGACGAGACTCCAAATGTGGTCTCACCAATGCCACAAAGTGTTGTGAGCCTCTGCAGTCCATGTGATGTAAGTACACATACAGTGCTGTTAGTAGGGGAGTTCTGGATTTATCGAAGGAACGGTGATATATTTTCAAGTCAAGGTGAGACTGGCTTGGAGAGGTACTTTGGATGTGGTGATGTTCCCATATATTTGTTGTTTTTGTTCTTCTAAATGGAAATGGTTGTGGGTTTGGAAAATGTTGTCTAAGGAGCCTTGTTAAATTTATGCTGTGCATCATGTAGATAGTATACACTGTTGTTGTACATCGGTGGTGGAAGGGGTGAACGTTTCTGGTTGTTGTGCCAATCAGTCGTACTGCTTTGTCCTGAATGGTGTCAAGCTTCTTGAGTGTTGTTGGAACTGCACTCATCCAGGCAAATGGGGAGTTTGCCATCACACATCTGACTCATGCCCTGTCGATGGTGGACAGGCTTTGGGGAGTCAGGAGGTGAGTTACACTCTGCAGGATTCATAACCTCTTACCTGTTCTTGTAGACAACATATTTATCTGGAAAGTCCAGTTAAGTTTCTGGTCAATGATAACCCCCATGATGTTGAAAATGGGGGAATCAGTGATGGTAACACCATTGAATGTCAGGAAGTTTTGGTTAGGTTCTCTGCTGTTGGACATAGTATTTGCCTGGTATTTGTGTAGCACAAATATTACTTGCCACTTTTTGGCTCAAGCCGGGATAATGACCATTTGCTGCATTTGGACACGGGTTCCTTCAGACTGTAGCAGTTCAAGAAAGCAGTTCACTGTTGTCTTATCAAGCGCAATTCGGGATGGGCAATAAATACTGGTATAGCCACTTCCCGCAAACAAATAAAACCATTCCACAGTGCTGTTAGACAGAGTTCCATGATTTTGACTCATCATCTTGCTGCCGCACTTTCCCATACCATTGTTCCAATACAAGATTTCTCTTGAAATTTGAAGACCTTCACAATGATGTGCTGGTATTCAGAAAATTGGCAATAATTAAGCAGAGTGCAGATTACAAAATATAGACCATGTTACATTAATAGAGTGAAATATAATTCTAGTATTTGAATAATTTTAGATAATCTGGTGGAAGGTGGATGAGCAAATAAAAGAGCCCAAACTACTTACGCAGTCTGAAGCTTCTGGGAATTGACCATTATTGTTTTAAATTACTCAATTGAGCAGGTACTACGGACAATAGTTCATAGTCAATAGTCTTCTTTTAGACATGCATGTCCGGTGCTGATGATGTCATGGGCCAAACCATAATCTTTGATAAGATAGAAGCAAAATACTGTGGAGGCTGGAAACCTGAAATTAGAACAGAAAGTGCTGGGGTATTTGACTGGTTTGGCAGCATCTGTGGAGAGTGAGAAATACAGTTAATCAAAAGTTTTAATGAAAAGATTCTTCTTCTTCTGAAGAAAAGTCTGTAAACTCAAAATGTTAACTTTGCTTTTTGTCTCCACAGATGGGAACACAGCAGGTCCACAACTCTGGCATTTTCTGTTTTTTTAAACAATCTGTGCTATCCAGAGTGGGAAGTTGCAGTGAGTTTCTAATCAGACCGACCCAGTAAAGTAGCAGATTCTTGCCAGAAGGGGCCCAAAAAGGCAACTTTTACTTAGCTGTATTTTTATATTTCTTTGTGGGACGCAGCTACCACGGTCTCACCCGTACCCCCCTGCACCCCTCCCCAGTCACCATCACAAATCAGCACGTAGCTGCTCTCACAATATAACTGCTATTTAAGGGCATCCTCTGGGATGCATAATTTTCTGTCCAGTCCAGCTTAGGTTGGACGTTGAATGGATGAGGTCAGTCCATACAATTTAGCTAGATTTCCTTCTGCTTCAACTGCTGTGAAATTAATCTTGATGGCATGTTATCCTGCTGGAAATTCACAAGAAGTTGAAATCCAGGCTTATCTGAGAAAGTGTTGCATTTTCCAAATTGTAAATACTCTTAAAATTTCAGGATAGGCTTTATGTATCTCTAAACTCTGTACTTCAAAATAAGTGTATTTCATTCTCTGTCCAACAGTTATACTAGCTTGTATTTACTGGAAAAAGCCATGGAGATAAAATTAGTAGTCCTCAGCCTGCTACTTGCTATGACAACAGCAGATCCAATGATGTTGAA